TCTCTGATACCATGTGAAGAGGTGAAGTCCACTGACATTCGGATGGGCGGATAATACCAAGTTCGGGCATATGCTCAAATTCCGCATTGGCCATCTTCAATTTATCAGGTGCAAGACGTCGTGGTCGAGCGGAGACTAGTGGACCACGGGTTCGTATGCGGTGCGTTACGTTAGCTATGACAGGAAGAATGGCGCTAGAAGGGCGAACCGACTGTGGGAGTTGCGCGAACAGTTCCAGAAGGTCTTTGTCAACTTATGGCTGAGGATAAATGAGGGTGAGCGTTTCGGAAGACATCTCGATCCTGCAAATGGAAAAAAGTGTTTGTTTGTCAATCAGCTTCCGATGACGGGCATCTACGATTAAGTCGAAATGATGCAAGAAATCGATGCCGAGGATAGCAAAAGGTACAGCAGTGACCGTAAAAATTCAGAGGAAACTTACGTCCAAGACCAAGATCCATGGTGAGGGAATGTTGGCCAAAAATAGCTATGGGTGTTCCGTTGGTGGCACGTAGAATTGCTGTCTTCCGCTTAGTCGTTTCGTTTCGGCCTGATGGGATAACGCTGAGTTCCGCTCCAGTGTCGACTAGGAACATGATCCCTGAGATTCTATCGGCTAGCTTGAATAGACAGCTTGCAGTATTTTTACTACCGACATCAGTCGCAAGTATTTGTCGAGCACCTCGTTCTAAGCCATCGTTGGGGGGGCATCGGTTGACCGTTGTCTTTGGTCTTTATCAGACTGGGAATTTGACGACGTCTGTCAAGATTTTGCTCAGCCTGCTTCTTCTTTTCGATGTAAAAGTGCAAGGTTTAATGCAATTTTTAGCAGCGCTACCGAATCGCGCATGGTAACGGCAGATAGAGCGTCGTGTGCGAACGGTGTCCCCCTACGCTGCTGTTGGTTTAGGCTTCAACATTGGACTTCTCGTTTAAGTGAGGTTATTACGTCCAAAATGGCCTGCGTTGAAGGCAGGTTGCTTGCGTTTTCGTTTAATGGAGCGACGGTCTGTACCCAGTGAGGCGCGTCAGCTGGCCGGGAGATGCTAGACGAAGCGCAAAGTGGTTCAATGTAACGCCCCAGTACGTTGTCTGCGATTTCGGCGATTTCTGACGACAGTTGAAACTTGGCGAGGCATAAGACAGCTTGTACGTGCTCAGGTAAAGATTGCAGAATTAGTTCATAAAGCTAAGATTCGTCCATACTTAACCCTCTTAGGAGACGGCGTATCTCTAGTAAGAGTGTCGACGGTTTCTTGCTTCCTAACTGCAAACCAGAAAAGAGTTGATGCAGACGAGATCTGTCTGATGGTGTGCATCGTTTTAGTACGGCCTCTATCAGAGCGTTATAACAATTAGTCGGGTCAGCTGTCAAAATCAGATGGCCAAGTTGAACGATGAGATCTATGGGCAAACGAGATAACAGGTTGTTGAAGTTGCCTAGGTCACGTGCGACACGTTAGTTAGCAAATTCTGCTTCTAAGATCGTGAACCATAAAGCAGTGTCTACCTTCATGAACGGAAGAACTACTAGAGTGATTGGATGAACAGTCTGCTCGTCCTCACTATAGTTAGAGACTGAGTCTATGGTTCAGAAAACAATAAACGCTTAGTGAAAGTGGATGAAAAAGTGTCACGAACAAACCCGGAAAAATTGGAATGGGCTCACCAAAGATAGGCGAATATAAGCCCAATTGGGATCTCCAATGCAGTGAGGAATGATTCGGATCTGCGTCACCAATGTAGTGACGAAATTAATCTTGATCAGGGCAAGAATTCTAGTCGGGATCACCAATGTAGTGATAGTGGCCGACTCACGCTAACAGACTTGAAGTAGCCGCGATAGTCTACTGGCAAGTACCGTTACCAGGGATTAAAAAGAAGGCACCAAAGTGACGGGAGGAAAGTGTATTGTGATACACTGTTCCCGCGCATTGGCTAAAAACGACACCGGACGACGCGAGCTAGCTAGAGAAGGATGTGAGGGACCGCGCGATGGAGCGGCGTGTTGAATCCACCCGTGGCACCGTGTGTGTAAATCGCGCGTGTGTTGGGTCAAACAACCAAATGCACCATATACATGTCAGCAAACAACTTCTAAGTGTCCAATAAAGGAATTTTATTTAGTAGTTTACACAACATACGCACACAATCTCCAGACTGCCACACACAGTCAACCGCTTGAGACGTGGTGCGACAAGCGGATGATGTATTTCACAGCAAAATAGTTAAGTATCATGTGTCGCGATTGTTTGATACCCGAAGGATCTATCACACTTAATAGCGAATGCATCAGTGTACGACGGTCTACACGTGACCTCGGAATCAGATATTCTCGTACCTTCAGCTATCCTGAACAAATTGAGTACCAGATAGCATGAGCCAGACAATCCGTGGTTAACATATCTCATACGATAGATACAATCACAACCAGAGTTAAATTATGTAAAAACGTT